ACGGTGCTGCTCTCGAGCTCAAGACCAAGTGAGTTGTCGTTGTCGGAGGCATTCCTTCTGGTCTTCTGCCGCGCGGCGCTGACCCGCGCACGCACTCATCCAGGCTCGACTACGTCGAGGAGAAGCGCAAGCTTTACGCGCCCGACTCGGCCCCGATCACGGGCGCCTCCAAAGACTCTGTCCCGAAGAACCCGTACTCCAAGTCGGCCAAGCCTTTCAATGCCTGGGCCGAGCGACTCGTCGGCGAGGACGGGTTCCCGATCAAGCCGTCGGCGGTGGCCGCTGCGCGCGCCAACGGCAAGAAGCGTGGAGCTGAGGACGAGAACGAGGCAGAGGAGCGCGAGATCATGTACGACGGCGTGCGCTTCAAGGCGCGCCGGACCGGTGGCAAGGACGGCAAGGTCGAGATCGTCGACGAGGAGAGCGTCGGCAAGGGCGACGGCGGCTGGGCGACCGGCAAGGTGTTCCGGTTCACGATCGCCAAGAAGGACGGGTCGACGTCGACCGAGTCGAAAGAGGACGGCGAAAAGTTCGACTTTGTGGCGCTCAAGAAGCGCCTCGAGCCGATCGCCAAGCCGGCGTTTGTCTCGCTCGCCGAGGACCGCCCGATCGCGCCCCTCCCGGCTGGCGCTTCGGGAGACAAGGACAGCACGATGAAGGAGGCCGCGCCCAAGTCCGAGTTCCCGACGCGCTTGAACGCCCCGCCCGAGATCAAGTCGTCTGCCGACGTCAAGAAGGACGAGGCGCCGGAAGCGTCGACGTCTTCGGGCTCGGGCTCGGGCGCACAGCAGTACCCGGCGCGCGGACAGGCGAGCTTCAAGGAGGTGGTCACGGACGAGACTTTTGACAAGCTCAAGTCCGAGGTCGGCGAGATTGACGGCCGCAAGGTCGAGTGGGTTCGTGTGTCCGGTGCGTTTCTTGTGCTCTCTCTTGGTTTTTTTTTGCGCGGATTGTCGCTGACTTTGTTTCGTGCGGTAATCTACAGAGGCGGACGAGCGTGCGCACCAGCTCTCGCGTGCGCGCTACCACGCCGAGCAGGCCTTTTCGGGCGAGCGCGGCGGTCCGGGCGGTCGCGGTGGCCGCGGCGGAGGACGTGGCGGTGGACGCGGTGGTCGTGGTGGACGCGGTGGCGGTGGTGGACGCGGCGGTCACAACAAGCGCCCGCGTCGCGATTAGGATGTGTTTTATTCCCTGAGATATCCCCGGGTTGCCTCGCTCGCTCGCGAGGGCCCATGAAAAGCAGTATTTCGACTGCCCGCGCGTGTCTCCGCGCGGTAAGAGAGATATAGTGCGCATGCCTTGCCCGAATGATTTGGCGCGGTCACGTGCGAGGCTCTTGAGGAATGCAGCGGGGAGCGGTTCTTCCTCGCAATATTGATACTGAACAGCTCGCACGACTGCCGGAAGGTCCGCCAGCTATCGCGAGCGCTTGACTGCTCTGGGATCATCGGATCCGGGCTGGACGTCGCTCGTTCTCCGGCGCGGCATGCAACACCCGCTGCGGTCCGCGTCCGCAACTCCCGACTCTGCCACCGGCTGGGAGGCGGTCGACCGCGAGATTGAGCAGCTCGCGCATCAGGGAAGGATGGACGAATCCAAAGCGGCCAAGTTGGCGGAAGGAGCGGACGTCGAGGAGGGTCGGGAAGCCCCACCGCACGACGCCTCGGACGACACAGAGGCCTTGCATGCCGAGGCAGAGCAGTACATACGGAGGCTGGATCCGGAGGAACAAACACGCAAGGTAATCCTGCTCGCCTGCGCGTGCTGTCTCAGCATCGGAAGGTGCGTCCCTTCGTTTTGTACGGCTTTGGCATTCGTATCCAGCTCAAAAGAGAGTTCCCACAGCCACTATGCAACGTATGATTTGGGTCCTATCAAGAACTCCCTCGGCACGAGCGAGTCGGGCTTTGCCGGCTTCGTTAGCGCGATCGAACTCGCCAACACGGTCACGCCGCTCGTCGCCGGGTTCCTCGTCGCCAGGCTCGGAGCAGCCGTGTGCGGACTCGTTGCGACCGGTTTGGTCTTTGGCGGCCAGGTCATCGTCTACTTTGCGCAGAGCCTAGAGGGAGGAGCGGCAGGGAACTTGCCACTCATGGTGGGTCTTTTCTGTTCGCCGGGTCACAGAGTCGATACTTATATACGAGCATATATAGGTGCTCGGTCTCCTCGTGTTTGGCGCCGGGACTTCGCCTCTGGCTGTGGTACAAGAATCAATCATCCTCCAGCACAACGACTCGTCTTCGCACTTTGTCGCTCGCTCGATCGCGGCCGGACTCGTCCTCGGCAAGGCGGTGGGCTTTCGCGAGCTGTGTCCGGGTGTCTCTCGCACCCGCTGACCTGGTTTTCCCCGCAGGGTTCCTTTGCCGGTGCATGGTCGTCCGAGCCGCTCTACGCCATCTCGCCGCGCCTCCCTTTCCTGGTCGCCTTGTGTCTCACCCTTTTTTCCTTCTCGGCAAGTCTGCTTTACGCTCTCGTGGAACGGCGGAACAGTCGCGCTCGAGCGGGGCTCAAGGACGCCGCGCACCATAAGCCTCTCCGACTTTCGACCTTGGCCTATTTCGGCTCGCCGTTCTGGTGGTACATGGGCGTGTGCGCCCTCGCCGGAACGTGGTATACGACCGAGCACCTCTCGTCTCACCTCTTGCAATCCGTCTACTCGATCCCGGAAGCGGAAGCGAGTCCAGCTGCGGCGCTCGTGCTCGGTGCTCCTCTTTTGGTGTGTTCGCTTGAGTGGTGGCTTACTTGCGGGTGGCTAATCCCCTTTTCACGCTGCAGTGCTACCCGCTCTTGGGGTACTTCCTCGATCGCCGCCCAAATTTGCTGGACAAGTTTTGGCTCGCTGTGCCGTCTTTGGTCTCTTTCACCTACTTTAGCTACTTGCTGGTGAGCTAGATCTCGTTGATGTCCGCTGAAGTGTGCTCGCTGACTGGCGTAACCCTTTCGCAGCTCGGTCCCTTCATTCCGGCTTTTCTCGCCATTCTCCCGGCTGCCCTCGGCGTCGGCAGCGGGACGCTCCTCTTGGTGCTCGTGGTGCCGAGAATCGTCGAGCCAGAGTGGGTTTTCTCTTTTGACTGCGTCTCTGCCCCGCTGACACGCTTGCCCTTGCAGTCAAGCCGCGACCGCTCTCGGCGCGCACAAGTCGATCGAGATGGCCGGCGCCATCATCATCCAGACCCTCTGCGGTCGTTTGCTCTCGCTCGAATCGCACACCCATCGCCCCGACGAGCAGCTGGACGAAGATCCGACGTGGGCCATTGCACTCCTCTTGGCGGGTTCGCTCGTCCAGGTCGGCGTCGTCGCGCGGTGGTGGTCCGTCATCCGGGCGACGGCTCGCTCCAAGGCGACGAGTGTGCCGACCGAGGAGGAGCTCGGGCTGCTTGACGATGGGCGGGTTCCGTCGCCGCTGTCGTCGTCGTCGTCGGAGTCTGAAGCTGCGGCGCGCGGATACCGATGTCTCTATGCTGCCACTGGAATAGTCGTGCTCTCGTGGGTGTGCTTCCTGTCCAACTTGGTCTAGGCCGTGTAATTTATCTGATCGAAGTTGTGCCGTCGTTGGGGCTTTTGACCATCTTTGCACATGCACTTTCCCTTTGCTTCCTCCTCCGATCACTCGCTTGGTCCGCAGTCGACAATCCAGATGCATTCCAGTTCAGCGCTGCATGATCTTCCGCTGTGTCTGTCCAGTGCGAAAGCCGCCCTCGGAGTGCCTCGCAGGACCGGATCTCTCCTTGACGAATCACCCATAGGAAGAGTCGAGTCGTCATCCGAAGTGCAGTCACTCATCCAATCCGGGCGAGAACGCTAAGTAAGGAAAGATCATATCATGCATACGAGCCTGAAGAGTACCTGCCCAAGCGTGCTCTTCGAGTGAACGGTTCAATGCGCGTACGTTTGAACGCCCAACTTGCGCTCGTCTTGGCGCGTCTCGCTGATTCCGCGCCTAATCTCGAACTCGTCGAAATGTACTAGTGCTGGCACAGCTGCCCTGACACGTGCCCGGGGGACCGTCGATTCGGCGCCCTCCGAAAGGGTGAGGATTATATGCGACAGAAGGAGTGCCGATGGACCGTCTCGTCTCCGAAAGCGCTTTCCGCGCCCCCACTCCGGGCTTCATCGCTTCATGACATCCGATCCAAGCTATGCTGAGCCCTAGGGCACCCCTTTCGAGGCAACTTGTCAGCCGAGAGTGGCGAGGGGAAATCCCTTGCCTTCTCCATGGCAGCACCCAATCTTGGGTCGGAATCTTGTTCCACCAGGGCAGGGTCAGCGTATCAATAGACTGCTTCAATGAACAACAAGCGGCCACAGAGGCTCTCCGAGAGGGCCAACACAGGCTTTCTTTGCAAAAATGGTCCGGGAAGCGCTCAGGCCCCCTGCTCCTCCAGAGACCAAGTCCCGAATTAACGTTTGTTTTGGGGTCTTTTTGTACCAGTTCGCTGCCCATAGAAGCGCAGACTGGGTTTTTGCGCATTGCGCGACCGTAGAAGCTCTCCGAGGGGGTGAAACCGTGCTATTCTGTGCGGTGAACGCTCGCACCCTCTCCTTCTCCAGAACTGACGTGAGTTCCGGCATTCCATTGTACCACGGCGGTGCCAACAGTACAGTAGACTGGTTCGATGCATGTTTCGCGGCCGTAAAAGCTCTCTGAGAGGGGTAAATCGAGCCTCTCTTTGCGGCGACGGTGCGGAAAGCCTCAAGCCCCTTGCTCCTCTAAATTTGCTCGGGCCTTGCCGGGACTTGCAGGAAAGATGGCAGACAAATCTGTCGGTTCTTAGAGCCTACTGGACTTGTTCTCCGAGGCTTTCTTGGCGAGAAAAGTCCGATCGAAGTTTCTTGAGAAGGTCGACTTTCGGGGATCATAATTGGCGTGGAATTGTCCGATTCGAGTCGTTTTGGGACTGACGGGTAGCTGGATAGTTGCTGCGACTGATGGGGTTAAGTTGGTGACAAAGGCGCGTTTTGAATATAGAACCAAACCAAAAATTCAACATATCGAAAAGGACTGGATGGGATAGTGGTTATTCCGCCTCTCTCACACTATAACAACAGTTATTAAGTACAGAGGAAGCCGCGAGTTCGATCCTCGCTCTGGTCAAGACGGCGCCGATAGGCGTAGCACTCTTTTGGAATTCGAAAGTCTCTTTTTTGAAAGTGGCAGGAGAAGGTCTTTCCGGAAACTCCTCGGAGGGTCTGTGCGAGGAGCGGTCTGTGCGAGGACGGGCTGGGCTCCGTACACCCGCAGACCACTCAAACCCGGTACTTAAATTTTCGAGAGGTCGAGTCCTTTCACCCCGAGCGTGCACTCAAAGCCCTGCCTACAAAGACAAGCCCGCTACTCAAACTAGAGACTCATAGGCTCACTATAGTCTGCTCAATGCCAGCGAATGAATCTCAATCGACTCGTGTGCTCTCCCACCTTGCGCTGTTTCTTTTTGCCACTGCGCATTCGCAGACCCCTTGTACACTTGTCACTCTCTTTAATCATTGCAGGTCTTCGCGCGCGCATACTCCACTTACAAAGGTGGAGACATGTCAAATGGACTGATTCGAGAGTTGAAACTACATGAGAGCGGACGCGGAGAGGTGCTTGCCAGAGATGCGGCTGCGAGAGCTTGAGCTTTCACGATCGCAACATCCTCTCTCCCATATGCTTCCTTCATGACACCAGTGCAGGAGCTCCTCCCGCAGGCAGCGAGGAAGGAGCCGCGAGGCGGAACGCGCTTTCCGTCAAGCCATATATGCGCATCGACGAGGAAGGCAAGTGAAATGTCTGTACGCGCACTCAACCAAGGTCGCGCAGGAGGGGTCACAAGGCAAGCAAGCTCTTTGCAACATGACTAGTCGTTCGATCGCGAGTAGTCGTCGTCTTCTTCCTCCTCGTCTTCTCCCTCTTCGTCGTCGGGCCCGCCTCCATCAAAGTCGTAAGGACTCGGCCAGAAAAAGTCCTCCGGGATCGCGTAGCCGGCGCTTGGACCCTTTTTCGAGTTGCCCGACTTGCGAGAGTAAGCGAACCGAACAACGTCGTTCAGGCAGCCAGCCACAATCCCTTGGTCTATGACAGGACGGTCAATGTGCTGCCCCACGCTTGCAGACCAGAAAAGAACAAGGACACCCACCCGTTGTAGTCTGTCCATTCTCGGTCGGGGTGCGGAAGCGTTCGGTTTTGACGGGTTCGAAAAGGAAGCGCAGAGTTGCTGCCAACTTCAAGTCGTTGCTCTTGAGAAGGCGTCCGAGGAGATGGTGATACGCGTGGTCAAAGGGCAACTGGATCAAGTACTCGGCTAAACTCGCGCGAATTGCGTCTACAATCCGAAAGAGACCAAATCAGTCTCACTTCACTTTGGGCGACATGAGAAAACCCGAGAACTCACCGTGGCTGGCAAGGTCAGAGGTCACTTGCGAGTACCAGACCAAGACAGGGTTGAACACGCGGATCCCCGAAAGCGGCTCGACGATCGACATCTCCTGTAACTCGACGGTCAGAACCGGCTCAAAGGTGCAGCTTCCTCACTTGAAGACACATCTGCAGCTCCCTGAAGATCTTTTCCAGCTGTTCATGGGAGGTTGAAGATCTGGGGAGCAGGAAGGCCCGGGTAGGTGAAGTATACACGGGGCAGCCGAGGCCAATCGGGCGATGACGGATGTCGAAAGAGTCCTCCTGGGACGGTGGCATTGACCCGGAGGTGACACTGTTTTCGCGGAAAGCTGGTGAGTTCATCGGATCTCAGACAATTTACAAGCGTCTCAAGGATGGACCAAAACTGCGTACCTGCAGCAATCGCAGCAAACGAGGTAGTAGTCAATCGCCTCCTCACCCGGCTTGCATTTGGACGCGGCCCACTTCCCCGACTTGGCGTCCGTCCCCTCCTGGATGTAGAGCTTGCAGAACGCCTTCGGTGGAGACAAGCTCTTGCGGGTCGCGGCGCAGACGTCTTCCAAAGCGATCACTTGTCCGACTTGTTCGGGTTGGTCTCGGCCCATCGTGAGAGTGTACGTCTCAAGCTCCTGTTACGAGCTTTGCTCAGCTTAAATCGCTTAAGGGCGATTCCGTGTAAGCATGTGTACTCACCTCGAAACGTTCGCCCCATGCTTTCGCTTGCGTCGCCGCGAGATCGCTCTCCGCCTTGCTGAGGCCCGCCGCACGCTTGGCGTTCTCGACCCGATCCTCGGCCGCCTTGACAAGCCGGTTCTCCCGAATCGGGCGAGCAGAGTGGTGGTTCGTGCGAAGCAAGCGCCGATCTTGCGCAAGAAACACGGTGAAGCGATTCATCTCGGCCAAGTGACGACGAGCGATCACCGAAGTCGCCGGGACGATGAGGAGGGCCCCCGTCTCGTGCGAGGATCCGCGCTCTGCCGCGCCATTCTTGTCCGTGGCGGCACCGCCGAACCCGCGCTTTGACGGGTTGCCGGAGCCTTCGACGATGCACAGCAGACTGCCGTTGCGGGAGATGCCGGTGGGAGATTTCGAATGATAGCTCGGCGTCTCTGAAGTCCGAATGATCTACACAAGCAGGCGAGGCCGACGTGCTTCGTCGCGGGGGATCCCCCGTTGGACGAGCCGCGACTGGAGAGAGACGAGCAAATCAACGAAAGGTTCTCAAGCAGAGAGACCGAAAGAGACTGGGAAATGCCAAGACAGCTTGCAGAGATGATGTCATTGACGCTCTTAACGATGCGGTAAAGGCGATGAACGACCGAGTGTGAGCAGCGCAGCAAGGCGCTGGAGTTGGGGCTACGAGCAAGTATGTATCAGTGGTCTGATCTCTAGTTCTCGCATATCGCCTATCACTCACTTTGCAGCCCAGGTCACGACACCTTCGCCGGTCAAGAGCTTTGGCAGGTACTGCTCCGACACAGTGAACAGGTCCCACTGCCAACGATCGCAGTTGGCGACGACCTCGATGAAGCTCGAGAAGAGCACGCTGCCGACATAGCGCTGCGGACAAAACGCGTGTGTGATCAGAGAATGTGATCCCGGAGAATGCGGTTCACAATCTGGACTCGCAGGAAATTGTCTCTTGAAGCAGATCGGCTCGACGTCCTTGCCCGCTGCGTAGACGGACTTTTTCCCGCCTGCACAGGCCGGATCGACCTGAAACAGTACCGTAGGCGAAGAAGCCGGATTCGCGTCTGGGTTTGCAGTCGGAAGCGGGCTCGCGCGGTCACAGTCGACGACGTACAGATCCCGAGTTGCTTCTTCGAAAGACGACGGCGCAAAAACGTCTTCGATAGGACGGTCGTGCCAGAGTGCGAGGTACTCGGCCTCGTGAGGGTCGACTGTATCGACAAAGCTGTCAGTCAACTCTCGCATTGAGACACATCAGCAAGAGCTGCTTGCGTACCGTCAACGGCATCGACCTTTTTCCTTCCCGCACGGAGACGAGCGTGGCGGTCGTCGCTGGTCTTCTGATTCGACGGTGCCGGCTTCGCCTTCGACTTGCGGGCGGTGCAGGAGCACTTCGCGTTCTGGAGCCGCTCGTACTCCTTCTCGAGGTCGTTCTTCGCCTTCTTGAGGCGCGCGTTCTCGTCAAAGTAGTTCCTGTTCGCCTTTTTCACCTTCTCGTTTTCATCCCTGAGCAACTCTGGACGAGGAGACGCGTGAGAAAGAGGAGGCGAGAGAGACAAAAAGGGCGAGGGCGCGCGGACGCAACTGTTCTTTTCCCTCAAGTCGGCCATTCTCTGCTTCATCGTACGTGGGTCCTTCTGGCACCCTGCGCGCGGACGATGCGCGTCCTCCTCCTCGCTCGAATCGTAGCTGTAGTCGACGCCGTCCATGTTCTCGTCGTCGTCTTCATTTCCATGTTCACCGCCGCAGCCATCTCCCCAGCCTTCGCAGTACCGGTCCTCCTGGTCGGCTCGCCACTCAGCTTCCTCCTCCGCCAACTCGCGCCAGTCCTCCTCCGTCATCTCGATCCGGGGCCTCTTGACGCCCTGGCCGGCGCCGCCGACGAGCCGTTCGCACAGAAAGAGCTGCGAACCGCTCGCGAGGTCGTAGTCGGCGATAGTCGCGTCGGAGCGGAGGACCTTGCCGCCGAACAACAAGAAGAAGTCGGTCGACTCCATGCCCGTCCTCGCGGCGACGTCGTTCAGGAGCGCGGCGACGGGCGCGCCGGGACGAGCCGAGACGGTCAGCTGTCGGGGGAAGGAGCGAGCGCTGGTCAGCTCGCCATGCGAACTGCCCTCGCGCGAAACCTCTGGGAACTCACAGTCTGGTCGGCTTGGCGCACAAAGAGCTGGACGGCGGTCGAGAGCGATCACGAGTGCGAGGACGGCGAGCGGGAGCGCTTGGTCGGGGTGCCCTCGTTGAGCGGCGAGGCTCTGCAGGCGGGAAAGATCATGGTCAGCTTGGAGGGGTCACCGCGGGGGGAGATTGCACGTGATCGACTTGCCTGCCAAGCTGTTCGAGTTGCGCCTTGCACTCGAGTCCGGTCTCGGTCTTGGCCGACGCTTGCGACTCTTCCTCGAGGAACCCGAAACTCTTTTCAGCGTCGACGACGCGAGGCGACGACGGCGTGTTCGGAAGCGCGAGAATGGCCTGCTTCTGAGCCGAGTCGACGATCGAGGCACAGACTGGTTCGACAACTGACCCGACGACGGTCTCGTTCGAACGCAGAGACTCCGTCGACGCCGACGGGGAGCGAGAAGGCGAGCGCTTTGCCTTGTCGGGAGAGGGCGAACGCTTGAGGCAAGCGGCTGCGAGCGTCGTCCTTCCGGCTACCGACTTGGTCGAGACAGTCGTCGGGACGTTGACGGTTGGTTTCTCATCGACAAAGGCGAGCGAGTTTGCGGCGTCGACGCCGGTCGCAAAGCGGGAGGCGACGGCGGTGGCGGCGGGAGACGGCGTCGACGACTTTGGGAGCGCGGCCGAATCGGCGGTCGACGCGACGGACATGGCGACAAAAGACAAGGCCGAGTCGGCGGTCGAGGCGGCGTCGACTTTCTGCGGCACGGGCGAGGACGACGACGGCGAGGAAGAAGGAGCGGCGGAAGGGTTTGCCACGTCGGGCGGCGACAGAGGTTTGAGGGGACCTGGCGTGACTCGCGTGGCTCCTCCAGAGCGCACATGCGTCGGCTCTGCCGAGTTCGAGGAAGAAA